TGGGCAGCTCTGAGTACTTACAGCTCTGCCCTACCGTTACAACACACCTGGCATCTGGCCTGTATAAGGTGGACCTGTGGTGTGGCCCAAACACCCAGAAAGCCCCACAGAAAATCTTCCATCCTACATTAAATATTACACATTTAATGTCAAATGAAGCTCAGAGACAGGAGTTATTCAGGAAACAGAAACCACAGGTTTTACACAGCTGCACTTCATGTCATTACTGAATCTTGATTTTGCCCCTTATCTGGAAAAGAGGGCCTTCATTTCTCTGTTTAAACATACAATAAAAAGTTTCAGATGCCAAATGTATTTTCTCAGTCATGTCATCATAACTTATTGCTCTTTATTATTAAATCTGCCTGCTCAGGGCATCTACAGCTCAGTTACTGTACTAGAAAATATTTTGCGTGCCAGATGTTGTCTAAATTTCACAACACTGTTAGGCCATTATTGTGTAACACTGTGGCTCCTTACATCAGGCAGACAAAACCATATGTAGCCCAAAAAACAATGTCACATGCGGGCTACATGGTCCAGGAAATCACTCAAAAGTCCTTTTTATTATTTTTAAACAGGCCGTGCACGTGATGAACATACTGTTTAGACAGCAGCTATTCAGGAAACAGAAGCCGCAAGTGCTAAAAAGCTGAAGTTTATGACGTCTCTGAATCTTACGTTTTGCTCCTTATTTCAAAAAGAAGATCCTCATTCCTCAGTTTGAACATTTGAGGTCCTAGTTAAACCTTTCTCGTTCATGCCATCAAAACTAAATGCTGTTTCGTTAGGATAAACTTCACAAAGTGCATTCAAATCACGATAGCAGACAGATTTAGGCCTAATTTGCGATACTCTAATCACTTTTAGCACAGTTTGGCACTTATGTGCCAGATGCGGCCCAAATGTAATAGAAACGTGGACATTAAGCCTATATAAGGTGTTACTGTGGCGTGTGTTTGTTGTCGTTTAAGAGTAATACTACATGTTTAACCTAAATTAAAGCTGAAAGGCAGTAGTTCTTCAGGAAATAGAAGCCGAATGTTTTAAACGGCAGCACTTCATGCCTTTATTTTAATTCTAAAATGTAATCTTTGGCCCCTAACTTACAAAGAAGAAACTGATTTCTTGAGTTGAACTTATATTAAAAAGTAGCCCTTCCTTGGTCATGCTATTATAACTTAACAATGTTTATTTCTTGTAACTCTCACAAAGTGCATTTAAATCATGATAACAGACACATTTGGGAATAATCTGGGATACTTTGGCCACTTATACCAAAGTTAGGCGTGAATATGTGCCAGATATGGTCCAAATGTCAAAATACTGGACACTAGGCCGGCATAAGGTGGTGCTGCGGTCTGGGTGTGTCTTTCTTGAAGAGTGATTTTTATCTGATGTTAAAGCTGAGAGACAGCAGCTATTCAGGAAGTATGAGCTGCAAGTCTTAAACAGCTACATGCCATGCATTTATTTTAGTTCTAAAACGTAATTTTTGTCCCCTAACTTACAAAAACGACCCTCATTTCTCACTTCAGAGGCGTACTTAGCCATTTAATAACCACGTCAGCCAAATACAAAAGTCTAATTGTCTTTACAACATGTGAACTGAGCAGTTTTAGGATGTGTTTAGTAAAGAAAATACTTTGTTTAATGAGCATGATTTTATGTGTTAAGTAATGCCTTTATCGTGCCGCAATAAAGCGCTTATTAAGGAAGCACTGCAGCCACAAGTGTCGAACTACACGTCTCATGGTGCTGCTGCACAAACTTAATTTTTTCATAAAAACCAAAGTGACAAACTTGATTTCTGCAAATTCTGCTATTAATATTCCCTCCTACTTTTAGCTTTTATTATCAACTTTATTTCATCATCGGAGGAAGGTGATGGTAAAGTGATTTTTATCTGTGTTACTATATTCTTGAAATGGCTCTAAAGTGTGAAAATGTATTGCTGCCTGTGGTGTACCAACCTGTAAAATGGAGGAACTCTCCATTTTCTAGCCCTTTGTCTTTGTTAGAATCAAACATCTACACATTTCTAATTACACCCCACAGTTTGAGGAACTACTTCGTTTAGTTTCCCTCGACTGTTTCTATTCTTTTATTCGGGTCCAGGAAACACGTGATTGAATTGGTCCCTTATTTTAAACGAGCATGATCTGCCTACACCGGATTAGCTCGTCTTTTGATCGATATTTAGACGACTTAAATTTGTTTTTGACTGTTTAATTTGTTATTGAATTCCCTAAACTTTGATTTAGGGCTATTTGTGGCTTTGCACTACATTTGTGATCATCTAAACTAGCCTTAAATGTCTGAGAATATAAATGTTTTAAACTGATCTTGAAATGGTCTACTGGTCTAAATGGCATGCAATGCTTTCAATTGTAGTTGGTTTAAACTGGATTTCCTGTGGTCTAAACTGGTACTTGAGTTTTAAAAAAAGTTTTTTGTTTAACCGTTTTCTTTTTTAATCTTTGCGACCGCTTTTAATACTTAGCTTTGGCGCACACTTATCAGCTTTAAACTGATCTATTAAGGCGCTAAACAGATAGTCTAGACTGGCTTTGGATCTTGAATGGTCTGAACTGGATTTCTGATAGGCTAAACTGGTACTGACTCTGAAAACTGCTGATGGATTAAGTTGCTTTTTCTAATTGTTGAGACGTGTATCACCACTGGTACATTAGCGTTCTAAACTGGTCATTTGATGGTCTAGACAGTTATCTATGGCACTAGACCATGGATGACCTACATTAGAATTTGATAATGAAAGGCCACTGTTAATGCTTTCAAGGCTCTCATTGAAAGGAGTCATTTTAAATCACTTCTGTGCCTGACTGGTCCTCTGAGTCCCAACAAACTTGTTCCCTAAAGTGTTTGGAAGAAATACTGCTCCAAAAACCTGAAAGTGTGTTTCCAGAATGTAATGTTTTGGTAACTCTTAGTGAATTTAAATTTATGATTATCCATTATTTAGATTTATTTCTGTATTGTTTTGTTTATTCCCCCCCCCCCCTTTTTATTGCAGCTGTCAAAGAGAATTCAAGCTAAAGTATATTAAATCAACTTAATACCCTAAATAAACTGGAGTTTTGATTATGTAAACTATAAACATTTACTTCATGCAAACGCTTGTAAAATGCTACGTGAAATGGTCTCAACTGGTAGGCAATGCTTTTAATTGTTGTTGGTTTAAACCGTGTTTCCTGTGATCAATGCTGGTGCAACCAGTGAAAAATGTTTTTTGATCAAAGACTTTTCCATTTTATTTGTTTCAGTTTGTATTTAAACAGTTGAACTTTGACGCACGGTTTTTAAGTTTAAACTTGTACGTTAATGATCTAAACTGGCCATTTGATGGTCTAAACCATAATCTATGGCTCTAGGCCTTGGTTTAAGATGATCGGTATATTTTATTTTATAAGACCTTCAATGGGAAACTATCACTCCTGTGCTTGACTGGCCCTCTGCATCCCTACAAACACGGTCCCTAAAGTTCGCACTGAGTTTGGAAGAAAATGCTTTTAGGTTTTGTACTCCAAACGACCTGGAAGTCTTTGACAGGGCCTCCAAAAATGAATCCTATGGTAACTCTTGTTCAATTTAATTTTACGATTATTTGTATATTAATTCATTTATTGGGCTTGAGTTGTACTTTAAGCGCTGAAGATATTTTGATTCCAAAATTTACTTTAAAGTTTGGGTGGCTTGAACTGGACTTCTAGTCTAGTCTAAACTTGGCTTTAATGCTTGACGATGTAATTGCTTTATTCTGTCCTTAAAGTGGGCTCAACTGCTATGTAATGCCTTCAATTATAGTTGCTTAGAAACTGATTTTTTATTGTGTATTCTGGTATGTAACTCTGCAAACTAGATGCGGATATCCTTTTGGGTTATTTTTTCGCCAGTGTAAGAAATAAACCTATTGTTGAGTGAGATTGTACATTTGTTACATTGAGTTTTGCCCAACTTTAGTTGATTAAACTTCTACCAAAGAAGCCTATGAATATGAAAGTTTATATTTATAATAAAGTCAGAATTTAAACAAACTGAAAGGAAAGATTAACGCATTATGTGTCATTTTTACACCTCGACAGCATGCACAAACTGATTAGTCGACGTCAGGATGCGGATGTTAGCGGATAGCTTAGCTATCAGGTTCAAGTTACATGATAAACTTTTTCTTCTGAGTATAAAAAGTAATTTAAAAAAAACCAGAGGGGTCAGATATCTTATTTATTTAGGCAATGATGGGCCTTCTTTTTTAAGGTAATCCACACAGATTAGCTTGTGTGATAATCAGACGCATCAACACCAGAACATTTCTGATTTATAGTGTTAGCTAGCTAATGGCACTGTGGTTTTCAAATCTAAAATTGGTCATTAGATGACATTTTTCTTTTTACCCCTAAAAAAATGAAAGAAATCTGAATTTTGTTTGGTTGTGTCGCGACGAACACCGATACAGAATCCAACATGGCTACCAGAATTCTCCACTACAGACATATTCAGCTTAAGACTTTCTGCTGCTTGAAAACATTTTAAATCTGCTTTATGTAGATGCTGTTCTGTTAGATATGTGGGGTTATTTATTCAGACGACACACATCTATGCAAGTACAGTTGGTATTTTCTTTTAAATTTTCTGATCTTTTTGAGGGTTAGCACTTTGCTTGTCGATTAAGAAAACTGATTTAATGCATTTGAATTGTGACTGCTCTGAAAGTTCAACCATATCATACTGACAATCGCTTCATGACTGAGACTAAAATATTTTTTCTTAGCTTCTGCAAAATCAGCATTTAAAAAAAAATAAAGCTAGCAGGATTTAAACCCAAGTTTAGGTCTGATTTCGTATCATGTTTCTTTTAATCATAAACTATTTTTAAAAACCTGTCTTAACTTTTGTCACGCTTTTAGAAGGGAAGTGATGCCTCTGCAATTCTTCTATTTCAAATCTATGTGTAGAACTTCAAAGTGTGTTTGGGGTCTTACCAGCCGGGGAGACCATTGAGGCGAGGACCAGCAGGCCAGATATCCACATCTGGAGCGCCATCCCGAACCAATATCCCCAGACGCCGTTGTTTCTTCAAACTGGTTTCGGCGATGAAGTGAGATGACTGAACTAAACTAGTATCTTCCTTCTCTGTTGCCTCGATGTGGAACAGGAAGTGGTGAGGAGCTGCTGTGCCAGGTGACACTCAGCGACACACTTACATCAACTTTTCTCCCACACATGAACACACTCTGTAGCACACATGGAAAAACAAATTCAGCCTCTTCTTTTGCCAGCTATTCCTGCTTTTGATGTTTACACGGTTATGTAACTGAGAGTAAATCTTTTAAAATAAATCTGAAGCACTCTTTGTTTATATTATTTATATCACCCTTTCTCTTTTTAAGGCTGGTTTTCAATGCTAGAGGCTGTGTAGATTGGTTTCACTTACAGGTTGTCACTTTTGAGTGTAAACTCAAGACATTTTAATGTGCTGGGTACTAAACCATGACCTTTACTTTATCTTAGTCAAGTGGTTTTAGTCCCCAACCCAAATCAAACAGAAAGTAAAAACTAAGCAACTCAAACTGTGGTTTCCTGATGGTCTCTCTGCCACCACTACTTTGTCAGGACTTTTACCCAGGATTTAGTCAAGTACCACAACTAGTGCAATCACCAACTGTGTTCATAAAAATTGACAAAACATCTACACTTGACATGTGCAGCCAATGAAATGTATTTTAAAATCACTACCTCAAACCGTAAAGTTCCCTCCATATATAAAGAGATTTACTTGCAGCTGGCAACTGGACTGGATGACAGGAGGACAAAACTGCCTGGCCGATAGTTGATTATAGTTGAATTTCAAGGCTTGGTTTGATTAGATTACTTTCCAATTTATTTACCCCCAGCTCATATGACGCACCAATATCCTTTGCTTCTATTAGTAGTTATTTCAGTCCATTTTTTTTATTTGTGTCAAAGCTGAGAGAAGTTCAACTCAAGACTTGCCCACTCAATAATGCTAACAGTTAATTTGCCTGGATTTAAAATGTCTCTGGTGGCAGTGTTTATGCTAGTCGTCCTTGGCATCATATCTGGTTAAAAGAATCAAAATGGTAACTGCCAAAGTGCTCAAGTTGAGGTCTCAGAATAAAACCTCAATAAAGCTGTGGGACTCAAGCAAACCATAGTGAGAGCCATTATCCACAAATGGCTAAAACATGGAACAGCGGTGAACTTTCCCAGGAGTGGCCGGCCGACCAACATTTTCCCAAGAGGACAGTGACGATTCATCCAAGAGGTCACAAAAGACCCCAGATGGCTTAATGGTTTATAAAAAAACAAAACAAAAAACAAAATTAAGACTTTGTAGTGGCCTAGTCAAAATCCTGACCTCAGTCTGATTGAGATGCTGTCACATGACCTTTCATGTGCTGGTGTTGATGCATCCATGCTTGAAAATGCTCCAATGTGGCTGAATTGCAACAATTCTGCAAAGATGAGTGGGCCAAAATTCCTCCACAGCGCTGTAAAAGACTAATTGAAAAGTATCCCAGACACTTGATCACTTGATTGCATTTATTGCTATTAAGCTAGTAGGTTTAGGGGGCAATGACTTTTTCTTACAGTGCTACGTGTGGTTGTGGACATCCTGCCCCCCCCAATAATAAATACCTTAATTTAGAAACTGCATTTTGTGTTAACTTGTGTTATCTTTGTCTAATAGGAAACCAGGAAGGGGGCAAACACTTTTGTACAACACTGCATGTGGATATCTATGGTCTATGGTGCATCTTGCATCTTGCATCTGATGACTCCACCTCTTTGGGCTGTTGGGTTGTCAATTGTCTTTCTGTTTCCTGTTGCAGGTGCATAATGGGTGTAGTCAAGAAGGCCTGTATTCCCATAAAAGGACATTCTGGGAGAATAACAGCTTATTTTCATGTCTACCCAAACAACATTTCACTCACTACGCCAACAAACATGCCAATATGACTGACTCACGGACTGACACAGCTCATGGTTGTTTCCTTCGATAACTTTATTTAGTTTTGTAAATTTCAAATAAAAAACTTGATTGATGGTGTCACCTCAGAATTATTTGTCCAGTCATGACAGATCAAAACTGAAAACTTGAAGTCAGAACTGCCCAATTTACTTTCAAAAGGGGATGTCACGAATTAGTGAAAGAATATATCTGAGACATCATTGCCAGTAGTTGAGCCAAATATCTTTTATAGAGGCGACCATTAAGCATCCATCGTGTTCAGGTCAACGCAGAATAGGCCCAGGGTAGGTCAATAGTGGCCCTCAGCAACAGTTTCAACTCTTACCTATCATCCATAGCTTATGAGTTACAGCTGCTGTCAAGAACTGAGCAACATAACCCACCATTCTCGCCAGTTCATAGGATAATTATAATCTATATAGTGGATATAAGAGTTCTAGCAGGATCTGTTGTCCTCTGAATGCTGAATGTTTTTAAAAATATACATCTTGGTGATGGTGTTAAAACCATGAGTGATAGGTAAGTGGTAGATATGGCCGAAAATCCTGGTTTTTGCTCCATTCTGACTTTCATGTTAACATAATTAACTCAGTGAAGCTCATGTTTCATCCAGAGACGACAAACTCATTAAAGTGTCAGAGATTAAGATGCTCTTACTGTCATTTACTTTCCATTTTATTTACTTCTCATTTAGTGTTTAAAAATATTAAGCGATTAAATTGGGTTACGTGGATAAAATAATGCAAATAAACATCAAACCACAACCATTCAAAATAAAATAAAAAAAACTAATTATGCATTGAAAATGAATGAAGATAAATAAAATAAATACATACAGCTGACAATAAGTTGGTGAAGTAAGTCTAAATGTGTAAAAAACAAAAACAAATAAAACACAATAGAGATGAGGAGGCTTTTTTTTAATACAAATCTTTATTTTTCTTTCAAAAAATAAAATTTCACAGCAAACACTTACAGCTGTTATTCAGCTTGAAGAAGCAGCAGGTCATAATGTTATTAATAAAGTTATGTTTAAGGCAAATAATCAAAGCTCCTCCCCTTTCAACAATGCCTAAATAAGCTATGTTTGCAACAAAGGAAAAAGTCCCGCCTATAAGGAGCCTAGTTATTATTGTTCTAAACAAGAAGCATGGAGGAGGATCTGGGGTTATTTGATTCACTAATATCTAAAAAAAAATAGAGATTTTCTTTTAGCATATAAAAAAACCCTACTACATCACCCACAAGTAATAAACAGCCTGTTACTGGCAAAGACTCAAGGGAAATGTAGTTAGTGTGGTTACTGATGTCTCCTGCTGTTTCATTAAAAATTATTTGTGTTCCATAAAGTGCTATTTGTGGATTTACAAAGTACATTATGTGCAATTCTTTTCAAACTGCACATTTAAATCTGTTAGTTAAACAGCATCCAGGTCAAAGGTCAAATACAAAAGTTGATGCTCAGAAAAAGGTTTGTTCTGTTTTAAAGTGGTGCCTATAAGTTTGCCTACAAACATATATTCCATTACAAAATTTTCCTATACAAGTATTTATCGATTTAATCCTCCTCTGGACTGGCAGCTTTAACTTTTCAGCGTGACGTCTCCCTCTGGTGGTCAAACTCCACCAACACACTTGGCTTTTTAATAATGTTTAAATCTGCAAAACAACAATAGTCTTTTCAAACACCTGAGCACACACACATTCACAGAGTCATTTAAAATCTTTTTAAGTGAATCAAAGGAAAGAGGAAATTAAAATGTAACACTGACTTCTGATGACTGAATGTCATTGAGTGTTTCAGCTGCAGGAAAGAAAAGCTCCAAACGCAACAATTTAAGTCCGAGTTAAAGACAACTTCTGTGTTTAGGACACTTCATCTGATTTTATTTGCCTGTTTTCAGAAACAGAAGCTTTCAAACCTAAAATTAAGAATAAAGCAGGCATGATGTAAATGACGTGGATTCAGCGGTTGGATAAATTAATGGATTCGTAGCAGATTAATCGGCGTGTAACTCCTGAGGAGGATTTTGCATCTCGTACATTCTGGTTGCGGGGTTCGCAGGTTCGAATCCTGAACAGAATAAAAAACACAATGAGCAGAAAAATTAACAAGACGATGGTTTAACTGCACATCTTTAAACGGAGGCGTGGTGTCAGCTCCAGCAGGAAGTGATGCTGGACTACAAACAGAACAGTAGGACTACAAACCATCAGTGGTGCTTCCTGTACGGCGTTGCCTGGAAATACTCATCAGGAGTGACGGTCTTCACCCCGCCAAAGTAATCCAACACCCACACCTGAAACACAAGGAAGGAGGACCAGCCTGCTGACTTCATTTCACATGATTGGCTGAGAGCAGCACAGGTGTGCACTCAGGACTACAAATGCTACAGTAATGATAGAGCTAGTATTACAAGGTGTGTGATGCTGGAGTACCTGTAGTATTAGTGGTATTATTAGAATTTTTTGATAATAGTACTATGGCAGTGTCTTTCTAGTATTATAAATAGCTCAGTTATGCTTTTGTATCAGTAATATTATTGCTGTAAAATTTCTGGTATTACTAGTTTCAAGTTTTATTGTCAAGTACAGATAAACCGAGTAGCCACATTTAGCCATAATGAAATTCTTTGGCTGGTGTCCTCAGCTTTACATGAGCATACAGAAGTGCGCAGAAGTGTGAGTTAAATGTGTGTGTTAAATTAAGAAGAAAGTAACAGAAAATAGCAGTAATAATGATGATAAAGAGAAAAAAAGAGAAAAAAGTATTAAATACTTAGAGAATTTAAGTCAAGTTGATATTTATAGTTTGCGTGAGAGTATTTATAGGTTGAATTACTACTGAGTTACTACTAGTGGCAGGTGGTAGTACTTCTATTATTAGAAGTATTGTGTACTACCTGTATCTGTGTGGTGTTTTAGTGTTAGTAGTATTATCCATCATTATTATACCATCATTATGATAGTGTAGTATTATAATATTTACTTATAATATATATTGAGTTGTTTTAAACAAGTAGTGTCATGGATTTAAAGTGGATTATTATATCAGTACTGATATTTGTGTCATGTTTTAAAATGACAACAGCATAACAGAAGCATGAGTGTACTGCACGTTCACGTTTAACTTGTATTATTATAGTGGAAACATTCAACAGTATTTATAGTATTATTAGAAATATTAGTAGTACTTATACTTATTATATCTCTAACAGTGAACATGTAGTAGTACTGTGGGATTGTTTCAAAGCATTCA